TTGGCGCCTGCAGACTTAGGTATCGGAGAGGTTTTCGGCACACACCCGCCGGCTAGCTCACGTTTGTGTTTTCAGGTACTAAAGCGACGTCGTACAGAGGAGCGTGGACTTGGTCAACAGGATTATACGAGGAAAATTATTTCTTCCCCGTACAAAAAGGTAATCTTTTGAATCGTTATTGAATTGCTTGCCGACAATAACTTTTTATCCCCAATATTGGAGTACACATATATAGGCTATGCCTTTGTTTGGTTGTGTTTTGTAAATGTGATTTGAGAGTATGAGTTTTATTTTAAATTTGTGGGTTGTAGAATTATGATTTGAGTATAGAAAATTTGTTTGGTTATGATTTTTAAATAGAGTGTTGAATTGTGTTTTGAAGATATATTTTGAATTAAGTTTTGAAAGTTTGATATGACATGTTAAAGGTGAAAATTTATTTGGTGATGTGTTTTGAAAATAGTTTTCAAAACTTAATTCAACCAATAATTTGTCATCAAACACACAACTCATATATCGATATCCATATTTTTTATCAACAATAATAACCAAACTATTTTTAAATTACTGAAATTAAAAATTGATTTTTTTTGTCAATTAATTTTTTATTTTGTAATTTTTTTGAATAATTGTTTTTTTGAAATAATTTTTTCATTTTAAAATAAACCTATGTCAATTATTTTCTGTGAATTAATTTTTCTATCAATTCATTTGTAAAATACGTTTTTAATTTTTTTCTAACATTTTGTTAAAGTCAACAACTTTTGAACATATATAAATAAAGAAGGAATAAATACACTAAATTTAATATTTTAAAATACAAATCATAACGTAAATCTTACAAAATATTATCAATTTTTTTTTCCATTTATTACATGTTATGAATTTCGTCCATATGTTGCAACAGAAATGCAATGCATTATTGTACCCGTTGAGCTCATATAATTGTGGGATTGACATACAAAATGACTATTATGCTCCTCTTGACCTAAATGGAAAGTGATTACATAGAACAAAATATAAAGGGTAAGATAGTAATTTCACTTACTTATTACCTACCCCCTATTGTTTCATAACTGTGTGTTCAACACTGAGGTAAAGAAAAAGGAGAGGCTGCAGCTGTGTACTCAGTACACGGATGTGATATATATATATATATATATAAAGTAATAATATTAAAATCGAATAATATTTAACAAATAAAAAGTAAATAAAAAAAATTTCAAACTGAACCTTTTGAACCTCACCATTTCTATTAAATCTGAATCTCATTCCGTTTACCACACCAACTTCACCATCTCAGAAACACCTTCTCCAGTTATATCAGAAAATAAAAATTAGAGAAATAGAAGCATATCCACCATCTCATTAGGTCCTCCTTATCCACTTTCATAATTTACAGGTTAGTTTTGATGCCAGTTCATGTTCATATTAGCTTCAGATATTAGCTTCAGAGGGAGTGAGGGAGGGAAAAGGAGGACAACCGGCCGGTGATCCCACGGGACATCTGGCCGGTCATCTGGCCCAGTCACCATTCCACCTCCGTATCTGTTCGCTTTGTTACATATCTGTTCCATTTTCATCTGCTATATATTCTGATTTCTGTTCTAATTTTGTCACACTATCATTTATTTTTCTGATTATCAGTTTCTAAGTTATAATAAACTGAATGAAACAAACCCAATATAAATGATAAATATCATTCCCTATGATTTTTTTTTTATTTTATAAAAATCTGTTTCTATGGCATCTGCCTAATTAAATTTTGTCACCAAATTTTTTTATATTTATTTTTTACATAAAAATAAGTTTGTATGCACAAAAATGTACTAATGGTTGATATATTTTTCATACATATTTTTTACCTCTCATATGTTGTAATATACAATTTTCTTTCACTTTTGCAGTCATCATGCCAAGAACAAAACAAACTAGGCCCGAACTTGGTGAATCCTCAAACCCTTTACCACCACCACAGCAACAACATGATGGCTATCCAACTAATGATTTTGCAACATATCATTTATGAACAAGCCTATAAACATTTCATTACACGACCAATTATTACGGGGAGAAACGTAAAACTACATTCTAAATATGATTCACTCTTACTTGGCAAATTAGATACAATGGGATGGTTACCATTAAATAATTTGCCAAATAAGATATATCCACGTCTTTTACGATTATTTTATGTTCACTTGACACTGGGTGACCAACAAAATGAACCGTTCAGTCTTACCTCTTATGTTAAGGGGAAAAGAATCACACTCTCTCTCCGTTGTTTTGCACAAATTGTTGGAGTCGAAACAGGAGATTTACAATGTTATTTTCAAAATGAGGCCCCATTAGAAAAAATTGTTGATGATGTCACTCAGATTTATACCACAATTTGTGGAAACCGATTTAGCGGCACTAATTTACAAGTCAGCCATTTAAAACCTCACATTCGTATTCTCCATCGATGGATAGTTGAAAATATCACTCCCAAAAAAGGAGATTATAATAGTGTTTCATGTTTTCAAGTTTACTTGTTATATTGTTTTGAAATTGGACAAAAATTAGATTTATGCTTTATATTACTAAAAGAAATGATGCTTGCAAAATTAGATACTCTGAGTGGCCAGTCACTACCTTTTGGAGCTTTGTTAACCATAATTTTCAATGCCCATGATGTGAACCTTGAAGGTGAAGGATGGATCAGAATCACTTCACTAATTTCTGAGTATACACTGACCCGAACTGGTGGTGCTGACACCTTGATAGGCTCTATTAATCTTGAAAATCAACCAATACCTGATGAGGAAGAACCCAATGACAATGCCATGCCACCAAATGAACAACCCCATTACTGGACTGATTATTTAGCCTTGGAACAAGAACGGTACAATCAGCGCCTACAACGGGAACAACAAATGGTTAATCAGCTTAATACATTGGGTACTCAGTTCGATGAATTTGGTACTCGGTTCGATGAAATTGCCACCGCTCAGAACTCACTAATTCATCAATTTGGTAAGTTTCGTGTAGACTCAGAGAGACGTGCTGAACTGACAAGGAACCGCATTGATCTGATTGACCATCGAGTCACTCAGCTGTACCATCAGCATTTCCCTCCACCTCCAATACCACCTGACAAAAATGCTTAACTTGTTTAAAAATCAAGTAAAATGGTTCACAGATATGGTGGTTATATTTTTTTTCTCTTTTTTTGTTTTGGTTATTTATTTGGTGAGTTTTGTTGTGATTGTTTTACTTTTGTTATTTTGTTATAAACTTTTCTATTCACGTAATGAATAACAACGACGGGTTTTTTTTGGAATCATTTAATTACATAGTTATAATGTTATAACAATTTGTGCAAAAAGATTATGCATTGAAAAAATTATTTGTACAAAAATTAATAAATAGTAATTCATAAATGTCTACGAAATCCTTCATTTGAATAAAATGAATAAAAATTACACAATTATTAATTAATTTTTCTGCATCAATTATAATATAAAATTAAATTAATGTTCTGAAATTAAATAAAACAAGTTACAGTTTAATAATATTTAACAATAAACATTCTTTTTTTTAATGAAAAGGAAAAAAAAAGTTATTATAAACTTCTGTACAGAAAATTAAAAAGAATACCCCAGCGTTTACACAAATTATGCACCCTTACTTTAAGATGTACCCAGCGAATTTTTACACATTCTTCATATAAAATAATATTTTGCTATAAAATCGGGTGATATAAAACAATAAAATATAATATAATTTTTTATTTTATTTTATTTTATTTACTTTATTATTATTATTATTATTATTATTATTATTATTATTATTATTGTTCTTCTTCTTCTTCTTATTATTATTTTTTTTATTTGTTACACTCTAGGTCAGTTTACGTATACCTTGATTAAGTTAGGACCCACGCAAATCGCTCCTTCCATGTGGATTGGGCATATCTTAGAGAGAGCCCGCGAGCGTGGCTCCAATGAGTGGATTGACCACCCATCTGGCCGAAGATGTAATCATCGCCTCTGAATGGACACGTTCGCTGCGGTCGACGACTACTTGACGCGTTGATATGGTCATGCATTAAAGCAATCATCAAAAAATTCATAAAATCATCAACAACCTCATCCTCCTCTGATGAGAGCTCCATTGTATTGTTTTCTCTGTCGGATGACATATGCCTTTGTCTACATCACAGTAAAAGTATAATTATAAAATATGTTATTCATGCTATAATAGTTAGCGTTATTGGTGAAACAGTAAAATTCAGAGGAGAACAAAATTTATTTAACACATGGTCATATTATAATAACATAACATAGTTTTAATATAACAGAAAACACTTAAAAGTTCAAAAAAAAAAAAAAACATACGAACATAGAAAAGGAAAGAGGATATGATGGAATAAAAAAAAAAAAACCAAATCAGGAATAATGAAATCATCAAACAGTTCAGTGAAGAAGATTTGCTAACACAAGCAACACAGAACTTCTCAGTTCACTGCAAAGCGAGAATCATGGCTAGGCGCAAATGGGTAGGAGTGTGCATAAAAAACCTTCGCCATTCCTTATCCTTGAACAGTGTCAGTGCCCTAACGTACTGCAACGGTGGTATGTCCCCAAGCTCAAGCAATGCATCTTGACATGTATCAAGGGAATAATCATCACCACCTGCACTTACAGCCTCAGTCTCATTTTCTCGTGCACGTGAATGTCCTGTTTTGGCTTGTACATAGGATGTAAAAGCTGCGCACACAGCATCAAACCCACTTGACCGTGATTTTTTGGAACGATCACTGCCAGTCTGGCTAGTTGCAGGGCCGCTCTTGTGACCTTTGCCCTTTGCTGAATCCATATACTCATCCCTGAATAAGTCAACAGGAATGGCCTCAGCAGCATTACTCCCACCAGCGTTACTCCCACCAGCATCAGTGTTCTAAATTTATTTAACATGTCATCTTCTTCTTCTGAGTCAAGGGGTCCTTGTGTGGATGCACGAGACAGGGCCCCTGTGGCACAACAATTTTCAACAATTTCTGCAATTTCTTGAAAATATTCAAACCCTTTTATCCTAAACTTCTTCACATTTCTGCTAGTCTACAACAATTACAAAACAAGAATTTAACACTATATATATCATGAAATGTTTAAAATAAAATTAGAAAATAGTACAGATTAATGGAAAATCTTATCCCAAAATTCATCAGGTGCAATAACAGTGCCTATAATAGGATCACATCCCAGATCAGTCTGTGCCTGCAGCCGCTTAAATGTCTGGTAATCAGCTTTCAATCGCTGATATTTTTGGCGCACCTTGACACCTGTATACCGAAATCCATATATGTTGTGCAACTGATTTGCATAATGATTCCAATGCCTAATTGTCCACGAAGTAGTACGGCCCGTTGTTTGATTATTTCTAACCTCATCTCTCAGCATATTTATTAATTTCGTTTCAATTCTAGGCATCCACATTTTGGTGTTCTCATTGTCATCGGAATTATTTCCATCCATCTATAAACATACAAATTATATTTATAGTTTGGGATGGATATACAAGCATAACAAAGTATTTTAAAGTAGTCTGCGATGGATATACAAGAATAACAGCGTCAAAATGGTTTGAAGGAGAACACAGATAAAGGAAAAAAAACAGATGATTTTATTTCGAGGAAAAAAATACGTAGCAGATTAATTGAATTTTAATAGCAGAAATATAACCACAAAAAAAAACATTCAGATAGCAGAAATATAACCACAAATAAAAAAAAAATCAATTAACATTGTGTTTATATAGGAGGAAACAAATCAGTAACATATAACCACAAATAAATAAAAAATCAGTTAACATTGTGGTTAAATAGGAGGAAACAAATCAGTAAAGAAAAATTAAGGGAAAAAAATCAGTAAAAAAGCCCGGTAGGTTCAAACAGACCGGTAGGTTTTAACGAAGAAATGGAAAATCGGAAGACAAAACCGGAAGAGGTGGGAGGACCGGGTGGTTGACTGGCCGGATGACCCGGGGGACGACCGGCCGAGTGTCCCAGGCTCTGTACAGTTCAAACCATTAACTAATGGATGAAAGGTTCAAACAGTTCAAACCATTAACGAAGAAATGGAAAACCGGAAGACAAAGTGGGAGGACCGGGTGGTTGATCGGCCGATCGACCGGCCGGATGACCCGGGGGACGACCGGCCGGGTGTCCCAGGCACTGCCGCTTTAGGTTCAAAGGTTCAAACAGTTCATAATTTAAAGGAACAACCGATCTGAAATGGAAAATACGCCTCTACAAATTCTCATAAACCATTTAGGAACTGATTTCAACTTCTCCGAAATCATTTATACATAACAGATGAAGATTGATTTACTGACTATTCTTGTAGAACAAAAAAGTTGAAACAGTTCAGGATGAAGAATGAAATCGTTTATCGACTCGTCCGAAATCATTTTCAGATAACAGATAAAATCATTTTTAGATAACAGATGAAGGATGAAGGATTTACTTACCAGATCAGTGGGAGTTGAATAGTTATCGCCGGTGACGGAATGTGTATACTGATTGAATATGCCACTGTTTGCTCGTCGGATTCGATAATAAATTTGATAAATTTGACCTGAAAAAAATTAAAAATAAATTAAGATGAATTTCTCAAATAATTTCCCTATAACAAAATATGTAAATAAATTTGTGAGTAATTTCACCTCGCAGTCGTCGTTGTTTGGTTGCCCATAATAAGAATCGTCCGCAACGCACAAATCGTAACTTAGTCGATTTGTGAAATATGATACCAGTACAGAGCGAGTTGGGTGGATTCATTCTTTATAAAATGAGTTTGAAACCCACCCGTGATGAATTTGAAGTATGGATGTTTGATACAGAGAAGCCACCCGTGATGAATCTGAAGGACTGATGTAGATGAGCTTCACGTGAAAGTTGCAGAGACGATGAAGAAGGCAGAAACGTTGAAAGGGAGATACAAGCTGCCAAACAGATTTTCAAAATGTAATTTGAATTAACACGCAGAATCAATTTTTGAACGTCGTATCCAAACGTCATGCGCGAGCTCACGTGTTGAAAATTGATTTGAATTAACAACCAAACATAGCCTATGTTTTTTGTTTTTTTTTTTTTTGGAACAAATATGTAGGCTATGTTTGACATAAGTGTTTTTGGGTTAAAATAGTTTAAAAAGATAAAATAGGTTAAAAAATTATTAAAATAAAATGTCACATCTAAATCACAATCATTTTATTTTTTCTCTCACAAAAATTAAAAAAGTCAACAAGTGAATTCCAAACGAAACTTTTTAGCCCCAGACTAAAATATCCAAAAACCAAAAACCAAAAAGCTAACTCACATCCTAAATGATGGCCTAATAACTTATTATATATTTCTTGTTTGGAAATAAGCTATTTTAGTAATTTATTGATTTTTTACGAAAAAATATGTAGCAAAATAGAGAAAGTGATGTGACAACTTATAATAACCTTTTAAATTTTTAACTAAAATATATAATTACCAAACAAGAATTTAATTATGTATTCCGTTCCATTTTTTACCGCGTACGATTATTGTATGTCATTAATGGACAAATATATAATTTTGGAGTACAAATAAATAAATTTTACGAACTTACTTTATTAGTTGATGTGGCATTTATCTTAGTATTATTAATGAAATTTTGATTCTAATTCAGCTTATCATTTCTAGTAGCGGAGTCAGAAAACTAAATTAAAAGGGATACTTATTAATTAAAACTTTAATTTTTTGTTTCTATAACCAATAGTAAGGTAATAATAATTTTTGAATTAATATTAAGTACAAAAACTTAAATAAATTATTACAAAGTATTTCACATAAAATTCTTCAATTAATTTTGAGTAAAATCGAAAAGAAAATATTGCGTGAAACTAGTGTATCATGAACAATATAAAAAAGTCATATATTTAAGTCTTAAAATAAATTATATAATAGTAAGATAAATTAAATTTTTACAAAATTAGAGTAAAAATTTCATATAATAGTGATATTACGTCGTCAATGAGACATGATATCACCAACTAATACTAAAACAACATATGAAGGATGAACTCTACATATAAATATAACAACACTCTAATAACTTATACATACATATAGTGAGATTAATTATATTTACATATCGATAATGATGGATATTACCTTTATATTTAGATTTTTTTCACAAAATGTTTATACATAAAAATATAATTTGTTATAATAACTTCATTTTTAACAAAATAATTATTATTATTCTCATAAATAAAAATGCCATTGACATTTTATTCTAAGGGTTTGGCTTGTGTCTAGTCCGAGATCAGACTGGGCGGTGCTATGAGCCCATGGGAGCCCACCATTGGTCCCGTTTTGATAATCTGAACCGCGCAATTAATGTGCAGAACTCATCGAATACTATATGTTTGTAAAAAATACGTTGATAAGATATCGATAGCTATGTGATCGAAATAATTTTTTGTCAACTGTTAATTTGTTCACTGTCCATTTATTTTTATACAAAACTGATTTGATCACATAGCTATCGATATCCAATCAACGTAATTGTTTACAGGCACATAATACTTGACGAGTTCTATACATTGAACGGTTCAGATTATCAAAACGGAACCAGTGGTGAGCCCTCACAAGCCCAACAACACCGTCTAATCCGATATCGAACTGAACACAAGTCATGCCCTTATTCTAAATATTATTTTTATTTAAAATTTTATTTATATTCATATATAAAAAATACAAAAAAAATTTGTAAATCCAAAACCGGGGGCACGTGAACCCCCGGTCTCCATGTGGGATCATTTCGTTGATCAAGATTACACTTTATAGAACTGATCTAACTCTGGTTAATTCCTAATCAATATGAGTTACAGCTGACTAATATCTAACTAACTAAGTTATATCCCTAACAAACTAAGAACAGGTACAACTGACACTATGCCTTGATCCTTCACATGTGACTTGAGCTTGAGCTGTTGCACTTGTTGAACTGAATTGGTGGTTAAGTATCAACTGCATCTGAAGCCTCAATATGAGCTGAAACCTTTCTATGGTCTGTATGATATTTTTGTTTAATTTTGAAAAAAAATCAATTTCTTATAAAATAACAACTTAATTCTGTAATCATTGAATAATTAGTACCAATATAGTTTTTCGAAAGATAAACAATGTCACTCACTGTACTTGAGCTTTTTTCGAAAGGCCACGAAAGGTACAATTTGCTTTTTATAATGGAGAAATTACATTTAAGTAACTTTTTTTTTTTTTTTGTGTAACAAAATCATAGTAAAAGTTGTAGCCTCTACATTTTAATAAATATATTCCCCATTTTCTATTATCTTGTAATTACTCCGCATATATATACCTATTCTACATATAGGGATCATCAATTTTTAAATTTTAAGTAGTATTTGGTAGAGTTTTCTAAATATAATTTAAGAATAGAGTTATATTTTAAGTTTGTGAATTTTAGAATTATGATTTAAGTGTGAAAAATTTGTTTGGTGAATGAATTTTGAAAAGATTTTTAAATTGAGTGAGAAATTTTGATGTGACATATGATATTTGATACAAAAACTTATAACTCATAACCAAACACATAACTCAAAAACCTATTAAAAGCTCATAATTTTTTTTAAAAAAAATTCTGAAAATATTATTTTATTAAAAATATCTTAAAAAAAACAAGTGCCAATTGTTAAAAAAAAAATTTTAAAAAAATTGGTATGTTCCGATTGACCGGCTGGAAGATCAGTTAAGCCAAATTTCAAAAAAAAAAAAAAAAATAAATTCCACTTTACACAAAATTTTCTTTTTGTTGTGAAAATATAATTTGAAAGATGTATCCAAACATGACATTAGAATGTGGGGGTAAAATTATAGTTTGCAAATCTATCCAAACACAACCTTAGTTTCTCTATTTTATTAGACTCTCAATTGTATATCATATAGTCGAGGTGTGCGTAAATTAAATCGGATACTCGGTCATAAAAAAAATATATTGAAATAAAAAAATTTAAAACATGATTTAATAATTGAAAGTATGTTAGAACATAGTGATAAATTTTTTTTTTTTAAAAAAAAAAATAGAATCTCGTGCCGTGTTTTCATATAACATAATCTAGAATAACAATGCTATACACCCTAAAATGTACACACAAAAAATATTAAAAAAAATAAAATATGCAAACCAAATCCATTTTGAATGTGACCTAATACACCATACATTTAATTTTTAGACATTTTTTAAAATATTTTTCTCTTAACTCGTAACTAATTATTGTTATGGTGACCAAAACCATCATAACACCACTGTCTAGATTAGATAGTACTAGCCATCACCACAATTTATTGCAAAAACAAAATTTACATTCTTCTCCAAATGAATTGTCATAGCATGCTTTTGATGCCCAAGTCCCAATTTCATGACATCAAAATTAGGAAAACACACCTCCATGTTAGAGCTGTTAAAATAAGTTAATGATAGTTCTCTTTTTCCTACAAGGCTATCAATTTATATCTCCTATCAAATCATGTTAAGTAATTAAAAGCACCTGTCGATTTTATTATAACGTTGAAAGCACTCTGTCAAGACGAACTTGAGTCATAACTTGATTCAAACCTTACAAAAGACTCTTTTGGTGACATTCAAAGAGAATTTTCATACATTAATGCCTCCTCAACCCTTTTTCGCTTAGAAGAAAAAGGAAGAAAAAGTAAATAACATTTATCGCAACAGTTCTTTTTAGTGTGTAGTTGGGTAGAATTTTTCCCAGCGTAGAATGTGGTGGGAGTTTCTGTTCAAGCACATTGCCCACTATCCTCAAAACATGAACATCTTCTATATATTATATTATCAGATCAGGAAGAAACCAGAAAGATGGAGATCTGTTTTACAGGTAAGCTGGTTTCTTTGTCCCCAAACAAACAAGACACACATTGTGCCCTAAAGCAATATCAAACCTTTCAGTACTTGCAACCCCACAGCAACACATCCCAGCCCTACACGTGGCACTTAATGGCCAACCACTTGTCCCATTTTTTTTTGCATCTCCTCATATATAATATAGAATATCCCAATTTCCAAGTCAAAGTTTGGAATGATATTTATGCATGAAGGAATGAAAAGTTTAGCAATTTAAAATTATCGAGAGAGAGAGAGAGAGAGAGAGAAGTGTAAAAGAAGATTAAAGCAGGACAGTTTTTTAGGGTTAAACAAGTGATAATGATGAAGAAGATGATGTAGTAAATAGTTGAAGGAAAAAGACGAAGACGTGACTGAAAATGAAGTTGGGAAAAGAGTCAACCTTCCATAGTTATGAATACTCATTATTAGAAAAGCCTGCAACAAATTTATGGCACAAGCATAAAAACCCTAACTCTCTCTCTCTCTCTCTCTCTCTCTCTCTGTAAAAAAGGTTCTCTCTGAAAAACACTACTGTCTTCAGACTGATCACCATTAATACCACTACTGATTTTTTTTATTTTTTATTTATTTTTAATTTAAAATGAAAAAATTTATCTGAATAATCCATCTTCCAGTCAGTACCCAAAATACAGATCTTTGTTTATTTATTTATTTTGGATAAGTAATAGAGAGAGGGATTTGCTTAGCTTTAAAGAAAATCAAGAAAACAAAATTCTATCATTAAAAAGCAAAACCAAACCCCAAAAGGGTTGGCCCAGAAGGTGGGTGTGCTCCTCCAACGTTTCAAGTTCGAAATCTTCAACATACAAACAATTTTTTGAGCACAGTCCATAAATCCCGGTTTTAATTTGAGACCCCGCTAGTGAATGGTGTAATTGATCTCAGAATTAGTTGGTCCAATAAACTGAATATCGAATCATAAAAGAAATGAACAAGCAAAACCATATCAGCAAAAAGAAAAAAAGTTCGAGATTGAAACAACAAAACAAAATGAGAGAGAGAGAGAGAGAGAGAGAGAGTAAATCATATATATCATGCTAAGATCCTGAAGAAAAAATGCTTAGTTGGTTGGTGGAGCATGAGAAGAAAATTTTGTATCATAAATGAATAAGTAAAACCATATCTGTAAACCATAAAGGACACGACATCCCATATTTTGCTTTGGTTTCTTTAGTACAATTAACAGAATGGAATGGACTGAGAAGAATTTGACTCTGGCTGAAAATTAAAATTGAAGATCATATTTTATGTAATATTTGGAACCACGAAAACATAACCAAACAGGTTAAATACTTCGAGATTAAACCCAGAAAACAAGAATAATGTTAGAAGATTTTTGACTTCCACCATTAAAATTGTAAAAACAAAAAAAAAAAAAAAAAAAAAAAAAAAAAAAAAAAAAAAAAAAAAAAAAAGAGAAAGAAAGAAAGAAAGAAAGAAAATAATCAGATGTAATCTTTTTTTCATAGGAAAATTAAACCTAGAAGAAGAATAAAGTTTCTCATCCTTACTTGTAGCTGAAACAAAAGATCAATCCCAGCATAGTTCTCGGATTTTATCAGTAAAATCAAACCAGAAACATGAAAATTTTAAAGTAGAATCAGATCAAAGTTCTTGCTAGGTTTGGTATTATCATACATCAAACCTAACCCTCGATTAGGGTTAAAAAGAGAATAATCAGATGCAATCTTTTTTTCATAGGAAAATTAAACCTAGAACAAGAATAAAGTTTCTCATCCTTACTTGTAACTGAAACAAAAGATCAATCCCAGCATAGTTCTCGGATTTTATCAGTAAAATCAAACCAGAAACATGAAAATTTTAAAGTAGAATCAGATCAAAGTTCTTGCTAGGTTTGGTATTATCATACATCAAACCTAACCCTCGATTAGGGTTAAAAAGAGAATTCAAACATGTTAGGTTTGGTATTATCTGAGTGAAACCATCAAACAAACAAACAAACAAGTAGTCCAACGTGAGATGATCATGATTTTGTCTGAAAAGTTTCCATGACATGATTCATATGATACATCATACATATGTTTGGTATGACAGTGAATCAAACAAAGAGTGTGAGAAGATCATGATTTTGTCTGACAAGCAAAGATCATATCACACATGTTTGGTATGATATATTATTGTATATCAAAAATCAAACCAAGACCAAGAGTAATCTGAAGCCTCTGATTTTTCTGAAAAGAGTAGAGAAGATATATATATATATATATAATAAAAGTAGATATAGTACACAGATACATACATACCCAGATGACAAAAAACGTCCTTTTAAGGCCGAAATCTGCAACCAGAGAGACCAGAGATAGTAAGAAGAACCCGTGAAACTCAGGATAGATAGCGCCAGTAGTGATTGACATAAAAATTAAAACACAACCAAACAAAGCCTTAGAACAACAATCATAGTCATTGTCCATGGCGCTATCCCTCCTGAGCTTCACAGATCCTCCCATACTGTATGTTTTCTGATATATGGAAGAGAGAGTATTTTTTAGCTTAACTGAGCAAAGCAAAACAGACCCTTGATTTGTATTGTGTATTGTGTATCTCTCTCTCAGAGCTCATATGGTTAGTGAAGAGAAAGGAAGGGCAGGAGTCCATTTATAGGAGGAGGAAGGGTAGTCATGAGGTGTGGAAGGCCATTCACGAGTCACTTCTATTGGGGCATGGAAGAGCTAAGACCAAGTAAAATGGGGTTTGTTGTGTGGAGGGACGGATTTTCATTTCTTTTTTTATTGTTTAATACGTGTATATGTATATATATATATATATATATATTTGTGTGATCACTGAAATATTTGATCATCAAAATCATCACAAATGTTACAATTATAAATGCCAACAACATATTCACATCTATAAATAAAAACATTGGTGTGAGATCAAAATTTCAGTTAGATTTTTTTGTAGTTATATCTTTATATATATATATATATATATATGTACTAATGAGTTTGTACATGTGATGCATGTGTAATTTTAAAAAAAAAATAATATTATAAAAATAATGACAAAGAGAAATACACACATATAGTGTGTGTAACTCAAATGGGAAGTGTTTTCTTTACCAAACATACAGTATCTCAATTTTGAGTCCCATCATCCTCTTAATATAATTTTTACATAAATACCAACAATAAAAATGTTATGGAAAAACTCAAAATATGAGATGTCAACACCAATGAGGAGCCTTCACATACATAGGCCCTGTTTGGTAAAGCTGTGGAAAAGTGCTTATAACTTATATTTAAACAGTTTATAATTTATAACTATGAACATAAGCTGATTTCTGACTTATAAATTAAGCATCTCCTGTCCCATTCAAAGAATAAACTGATTTCTGACTTCCAAAAAGCTATAAGGTATAAGTTATAAGCTAAACCAAACACATCAAAATAGCTTAAATTAAGCTGAAAGTTGAAATAAGTAACTTTTAAGCTGTACCAAACAGGGCCATAATATATAATAGTATAAAAGATACTGAACGGTGTGCACACTCGATATCTGTTATGAAAATCAATCAATTGAATGTGGAAAAAAAAAATCCTTAAATTCAAATTCAAAATCATGTAATGGTAGTTTTGAAGGGTAATTTAAGAATTTTATTTGAAAAAATGTGATAGTTCACACTAACTTATGTGTATTTTACCTTGCAAAGTCAATTCATACGGAGTTTTGCACTAATTTTAATTAGTCCCTATTAGTGACAAGTGAAATTGGACCATTGAATTAGTCAGATACCGAATTATAAAAAAATTAATTTTTTATGTTATATAAGATAATATAATATATTATAGATTATAGATATGTATATATATAAGATTTTTTTTAAAAAAAAAATGTGATAGTTCACACTAACATATGCGTATTTTACCTTAAAAAGTCAATTCAAACGGAGTTTTGCATTGATTTTAATTAGTCCCGATTAATGGCCGGTGAAATTGGACCGCTGGATTAGTCAGATACCGAATTATAAAAAAATTAATTTTATATGTCATATAATATAATATATTATAGGTTATAGATATGTATATATATCACTGCATCTTTATACGTATACATGTAACTTTGCATTATGTTTTCTTTGTTAATACGCTGCCGACTACGTTACCTCACACTCCTGAAATATTGTAATGTGCAGTGTATTAAGGGTTTTGTTAGGCAAAGTAAACATAATTTTCTCCCCCTTTTTGCAGCTTTTTTGGAAGAGAAAAATGATGTTGCAGAAATGAGTGTCAAAACAAAGAAAAAGTCGGCCGCGTTAATATATGTACCTAAACAAAACATATTATAAAATTATTTAGAAATTCTGAAAATTTTTATGAGTATGTAGACATGTAGAACAACACTTATATTATAAATTCAAAAAAATACTTAAAAATTATCCCCAAAAAATTATTAATTATCTATATTTATTATGAGTATGATTCACATCCCACTAACATTAAATTTGAGCCATACATACAATTATGGGAAAAGTTTAAAGTAAATTTTTATGATCCATAATATTTTTGGTAAAACAAACCCCTCATAGGATAAATTCAGTTGGTACTTCGGGAGTATTATGTCATCGTGCAACCACCTAATGAGGAGGTATGTGATTATTTCTTAAGGAAAATATAAATAAACTGCATGATGGCATGCCATTAGATAGATTTATGGGCACTTATATTTTTGACTTATTGCTTGTTTGGTATGTATTAAAAAAATATATTTTTTTATATACATATATTTATTTGGATTATATCAATCAATATCTATTAACATCTTCTCTCTATTTTTTTACTTATTTTTTTTTAAACTTTTTTATACATTTTTTTTTATGCAAAAAATAAAAAGTGCACTTATTTAGAACATTCCAAATAACATTGAAAAAAGAGAAAATTTATTAGAAAATTCTCCTTCAAATATTTGTATTTCAATTAGTTTATAAGATATTTTTATATTTCAATAAGTTTGACATTTAATCCATTAAATCATAATTCTCATATATAAGGTATTTTATAGACAATTTAACCCTTACAAATATTTTTGAACCCTTAGCACCTTGATGATGTGAACATTCACAATAACTAAATTTGACAATGTGAATATTCACATCATGAAACATTTACACTGTTAGTATGAACATTAATGCGCGCTTTACCCTGTTATTATTATTAGAGGTATTTTTGTAATTTTGTCACCAATAAGACTCATTAGAATATAAGAAAATAGTTTAAACTAAAATCTCGTTTGGCAATATCACTTTTTAGCTTAAAAGTCAAAAAGTCCCTAAAAAATTCAAAAAACCAACAATTTATACTAAAAAGTTAAAGATTTCAGTTTCTCTTTACTTTTTGCACATCTTTTCGTAAAAAAATCAAAAATTCATCCCAAACATACTATTTTTTTTACATCATATTTTAGCCAAAAAATCAAAAAGTTACTAAAAAAACTTATTCCCAAACGAGGCCTAGTGAAACACAGATAGGTGAAGAGCAATTTATAAATAAATGTCCCTTGAAATAACTTATATTTTTAAGAATATCATTTAATTTTGATATTTAATTTTGGATCAGGCTTATCTTTAGTCCAAAATCGAATTGGAGCATATTGTTGGGCCGTGGTGCCCACCACAGATCCAATTTCGATAATCCAAACTGTCAATGTGTAGGACTTGTCGAATACTTCATATTTGCAAAAAATCACACTAATTGAATATCGATAACCACTTGATCAAAACACATTTTTATCAATAATTTATTCTTCAAATTATATTACTATTGATAAAAATATGATCTGATCAACTGACTATCGATATCCGATCAATGTGATTTTTTGTAAGAATGAAATACTCGATGGGTCCTACACATTGGACGGTTCGAATTATCAAATTTTGATTCATCATGAATTTCACAAGTCTAAATAATATCGTCCAATTCACAAACTGGATTGGAGACCATCTATATTCTTAAATTTTATATAAAATTTTGATTCATTTTCCTTTTAAATTTAGGTCCGTAAGTCCTTAGTAAAATGGTCTGTGAGCTCCCAATTATGTGCATCCCATCGAAAATACACAATAAGGGATCATATACCAATATCCTCATTACAACAAATAAGTTTTAAAGGCCGAACGTTTTTATGTTCAAAAGTATGAATTTTGAAACAAATTTCTCATTTCAATTGTTAAAAATATGAGAAGACTCTTCACTCATGAAATCATTTCTATAACTTTTTTTTTTCTTTTTTTCTTTTTCTTATTGAAGAAAACTAATTAGAAATGTCATTTTTGAATTCAAACATGAAAAACATAGAGATAAATAATTTTATCAAATTTTGTAATTGCCAATTCTTGTGTCAGAACTCTCTCAAAGTTTAGAAAATGCTATAATTTGACAAGAAGAATGATCGGCCGTTGGAGAGTTTAAAAGTTGACTTTTTTAAAAAAAAAAATTTTTTTTTAACATTGCCTGCTCAAATAACAAACCATTGGAGATGTTTTGATGGACCTATAAATTAATGACATGAGTATTGTAATAACATTTTTACGAAAAATTCAAAATTACTCAAAATATGACAATCACCATTAAAGTTGTTCCAAGCCAATTATTGTGAAATAAAGAAACCCAATCTCTAACGAGCATATGAACTAACTTGAAAATCCTCTAAATATATGAAATTGATATTTGTTAATTTTATTGTGTTTCATTTCTTACAAAGATTTAGGGAGATGGGGTGGCTGTTGTTGTGTGGTCATTGGGGCTCATTTTGAGAGTCTGTTTCTACGATCCAAACCATATATTTTTTAAGATATATTGAGTAGAATGTACATGCCAAAATCAAGTTGATTGGACATTGTTAACTATTTCTTTGACTCACATTTATATTCGGTTTTAAACTCCAAATTACATTTGCCATTCATTTTTGTAGATACAAATGCAATTTGATGAAATGATTAACCATGTCTGTTCAACTTGATTTTTTCCATGAATGTTATACTTGATCTACTCTAAAAAATGAACGATTCAGATTATCAAAATGGGCTCCAATGGCCGCACGATAGTAGCTCATGTCCCCCTGCATAATGACCCCATCTCCAAGATGAAGACTTATGCAATAAATATTATGGTTATATTTGTTTGAACAAATTAGATTGGATAGAATTAACATTCTTATTAACATTCTTATAATTATTAATTCCACTATTAATATTATCAATCTATTTGGATAATGTGTTACATTTTGGTTAACTCAAGATTACAAAGGACTGACAAAATCCATTTGAATTGCGTGTCTTATTCCATGTCTGATTTGAATTTTGTGACCCATCGTGTCCATCTTGAAATTTAATATACCCCATGTAAGAAATACAATATATGAGTTGACTATTAGTTTAAATTTCAATTTTCCTAACCAATTGAAAAATTATTTATTTATTAAAATTATCAATAGCCCTCATATGAGAAATACAATATCTTGAGTTGACTATTAATTTCAATTTCAATTTTCTTAGCCAGATGAAAAATTATTTATTTTATTAACTTATTGATCTAATTTCAACATCATATTTTCCAAACAAACATGACATGTGTGTATGCATACGTAAAATCTACAGTATCCAAAACTAATGGGACCTACCATTATGTTTTAGATATATGTATATTTAATTTTATATATACACATAATATTTGTTATGTAAATTTAAATAAGA